AAATTATCATTTGTATTTAGAGGAAAGGATGTTTCAACATGTTAGCATTAAATGCAGGCAGCAGGAAAAGCTCCTATAAACATATTCTTCCTTTGAAGAATATGAAAAAGAGAGAGATCATGCAGGTTTGTGTATTAGTATGAGCATGTGCATGAGCTTTGAGCAGATGAGAGATTGTCATTGATTACGTTTCCCAATAATCATAGACTCACAGAACAGTTTGGGTTGAGAGAAGCAAAACCTAGTTCCCCATGGGCAGGGACACCTTCCACTGCAGCAGGCTGCTCAAAGCTCCATCCAGCCTGGCCTTGAACACATCTGGGAAAGGAGCATCCATTCCCAACCCTCTTTCAGTAAGGCCATTCCCCCTTGTTCCATCATTACATGCCCTTGTAAAAAAACATCCTGACATTCTTTCTGTAGCTCTAGAGATTGACCTGATGGTACATCAAGGTGTTGGGACATGGCACAATATCCAAGTATAGCTTTTGTGTTTCCCCCTTTAGCTGGGTTCATTCCCATGATACCTATGAATGCTGTAAAATCTCACAACATCCAAGAAGCTCATGCTAGGAAAGTTGCATTGGAGAAGTCATTAAAAGTAAAACAATCCCTTGTGATGATTTATGATGCCTCCTTTTCTACCATTCTAGCAGTCACATTATTAATCTCCCAGCTGGCATTAGAAATGCTGATAGTTTAGGAATGCCAACCACACCTCCATCAGTAAGACAAGCAATCCAGAGTTTCTGACCAAACTTGAGCAGCCTAAGGCAGCCCAACACTGGCCTTCCTCTGTGAGGGGGGAACTTGGACTGGCACACCTTGCATGAGTTATGTAAGTTTGGGGTAGTTGCATTACTGGCCTTCAGTTACTTGTGTTCTCTGTTACTGTTTTAGTGACACTGAACAATACACAGATGTAATCTGTTACACTCATGAGTTCTGGAGTCATCTTTTTTTGTGTGTTTCTCATGAAGGGGCCCTGTTAACATGGTGCCTGTCAAATAAAAAATCTTTCACCATTTAATTTGCACAAAACTTTGTGTAATCTCAGGGGTTTAGTGAGTGGTACTAGGTGAAATGCCTGAAGTGGAAGAATTAGTTGTTTGAAATTTCATTTAAAATTAAGTGTTCAAAAGTGACCAATGCAAAAGCTGCTGAGATGATTTGAAATCTCAGACTAGAGTTAATGAGGGAGATTGTTTTCTGCAAGGATAAAAATCTGAGACATATTTCTAAAGGGTGAATAAAATCATCATCATGGCTGAAGAGAGGCTTAACATTTTGGGAGATCATACATAAGATATTAGCTTAGGAAAAAAATAAAGGGATAAATGTACATTAGAAATTTCTGTCTTTTAGTAAGTCATTATAGAGAAGTTGGAATTATACTGCCCATTACTCAATCTCACACTGAATCTTTTCTGGTGTTTTACAGAAAGATTCAGAGTGAAAACTGAGAGCCCATTAAATTAAATTAAATATCTCTATTTAATTCTACCTGTTTTGCTATTTTTGCCTCTAAAAGATAAAGACGAAAATAGTAACAGAAGTCTGGGAAAGCCTTCTTAAAATACAGAAATATCACAGAGACTTTTGCTACATTCCATTCCAATATAAAAGGAAGTTCAGAATAATATTTTTCTCTCTTGGTTTAAAAGAGGGCAAATGCCATCTGAAGCATATTGTATAAAAGTATGACACAGAGAAAAATCATAATATATTTAACTTTTCCTTTTTTCCAGGGTATGTTTAGGTAAGAAAATCAAGAAGTTTTAACCTACTCAGAAGTGACTTTCAATAATTGCAAACTTTTCTTAGGACTCTGATTTCATTCCAAGAAAGGTTTATTTTGATTTATCTTACACATGTTCCTAACAAGTTAAACTACACTGAAATAATATGCCTGCCTGCTTTCCCTGCCTTCTAGGGAAACACAGCCAGGAAGGGCAATGGACACATTCCTACCTTCCCTATTTCCAGCTGAGGACTTAGGGATAGAGTCTTGGTGGGAGTTGAGGATGTGAAGAGTGAAGAAGATGAGAGAGCAAAGTGTGGAAAAAACCACCACCCAGCTAGGAGGATTCTCTTCCCTTCAGCTGTTTTTCAAACAGGTTCCAGTGCATTTCCTGCTCCCCCTTTTCCTCCACCTTTCTTCCCTCTAGGGAGAACCTCATCCTTGCCCTCCAGACAGAAGAGCATACACAAGTAGATAACTCCTTTGGACCAATGCTTTTAAAAAAGGAAAAGACAACTATGCTACTATTGGCTTCTTTGTCTCTCCTGTTCAGAGGGGACCAGAGACCCTCAGTGGGGCAGAGGGCTCCCAGCAGGGCAGGGCAGGGCAGAGGCTGTGCTCTGCTGGCAAGACTGAATAATTTGAATCTTTTGCATTGGGGTCGTTCACAAAACTCTATGTTATAAAAAAAAAAACCTGTCAGAGCTCTGGAATAAGTAAGAATAAGGGCAGGAGCAAGTAACTGAATTTTTTAAAACATTGTCCTATTAGAAGTATTGGAGGGTGACCAAAACCCCCAGTAAGCATTTTAATAATTTCTGAAACAAATGCATAATTCCCAATATTTTGGGTGACCTTATTCTTTTTTAAGTTCTAAGAATGATTTTAGGGGCATACACTGCTCTTCTAATGATCTCTAACTTGCTGCCAGCCACTCACCACTAAATAAAAATGGCTGTTCTGTTGCTGCTCCTCTCGGAGTCACTGGGACAAGTCAAGATCACCCTGCCACCGTGTCAGTCACCAGGGACACTGTTTCTTCAGCACAGTCCATATTGCTCAAGACATTCCAGCACCTTCTATGTTAGTCTTGGATCCCAATAAACACAACTAAATATAGAAAGAAGTTTGCTTTAGGTGGGTACATGTGTGCTACGTGTCTATGCTGGCAGTATAGTCAATCAGGATCTAGGGTTTAGTTCAGCAGGGTACAGAGCGGTGCCTGTCCCCTGTTATACGATATTCCCTGCTCCCCAGCCACTTCTCCTGAAGAGTACAGCTTTTCCAGGTCCAAGAACATAGCTGCCAGATCTAGGGGATATCTCAGATACCGTAAGACATCTCAAATGGCACTGGACAAATAAATTTGAGCAGCTGAATTAAGCCTTCCTTGTGCCAAGCCTGAAGTGTGAGGCAGCTGAGCAGCCAGCAGAAGCCTTCCTGAGGATTAGCTGCACCTCTCTCAGCTGACGTGGTTACCTTGTGCTGCTTGGGGAGTTTAGACACCTGCTTCACATGTAGACACCTAAATTTAAATATCTTCATGTGGAGCTCAAGTCCAGGTCAATCCAAGTCCATCTATTTTTCTGATCTCCGTTAGAATTTGTGATGTCTTTAACTTTTCCTAGTCAATTTTCCTATTTCTCAATTCTCACCCAGACCTCCTGCATCTGGTTGTTTTGAGCTTGAGATTTGTACTGTGCAAAGATGCCATGTCCACTTCTGGCTCTTCTTCATCTCTGAACTTGCTGGATTCAGAAGCAAATCCAGCATTTTTGGTACCCAATTATGTAGTAGCCACCTATGATCCACCTATGTAGTAGCCAAAGACATTTTAAAATGTCAGAGCATAAAACAGGCAGAAGGTCAGCCTAGGCCAACATGGGATGTCAAACAGTGACACCAGCCAACAGTGAACAGCCAGGGAGGATTGCACAAGCAGGGCAAACACACAGTGATATTTCTCTACAAGAGTTTCTCAGCCCCCAACATCTGCTACTTGAAGATATCCTGAGCCAGAAGTGGGCTTTTGGTATTAATTAGCCCGGAATTAAATCTTCTCCCCTAAGATCATCCAGCTGGTTTTAAACCTTCTAACCCCTTGTGTCAAAAGTTCCACAGTTTATCAGGACAATCCACAGAAACAGATTATCTGTACCCTTGGCTTTGTATTTAATCACTTTCTGGGTTATTCTTGTAGGAGTTATGCTAGGGACAAGATGTGTGTTTCTACCCAACACAAAAGAAGTAAAACTTGTATCAACAAGAACCTGCTTTCAATTATTCACCAACAAACATGGATTTAGATTATCCTTGCATAGAAACATACAAAGACCACAAATCCCTAAGATTAAAATCAGGTATTTCTTAGAAGGGCTCTTTAAGCTTTTAAAGTTCACCAGGGAATTAATCATGAGGTGAGGAAGAACAGAGCTTGTTCTGTGCTTTTCTAATCCATGCATAGCAGCATATCTACCCCAATCCTTGTAAAAGGACATTATGCCTTCTCACAGCATCTGTGTGCCATCACTCTGCTGCTTCTCCTCCTCTCCCCTTAAATGCTGTTCTTGCTCTAAGAACAGCTGGCTGATTAGTTCCTGCACACCAAAGTCACTCTCACTGTTTGAATCTGTGACCTGAAGAAATAAATCCTAACACTTGCTGAGCTTCAACTAACTTTCCAGGCTTCCAGCTAAAGGAATGCTTCTGAATAGCCAGTGCTGTATTTCCTCCCTTCCAGGAAATGGTACATCAGGGCAGTTGTGTCCAGAAACTACATTCTCAAACACACAGTGTCTGTTTTCATAGGAAATTAGTACTGTGCTCATAAGCCCAATTCTACCAGACTCTTACCTCTGGGTCTGCCCTAGTTTTTCCTTACCTTAGTTTTCCTTTTCCCTTTGGACAGAGAAGTTGTTATGGAAAGATAGATAAAGGGGAAAAGTTCTAATCCATCTACTGATTTGTACAGTTTGCTACATCAGGTTTCAAAGCTCCTACATGAGGTTTCTTCCAGACTGCTCCTTTTATCCGTATGCTTTGGAAATTGTAATCCTCACTTTTCACCCTGGAGACTCCTGAGGTAGTTTTTGACACTAGCTCTGATCTCACATCCCTGTCTCAAACAGGAATCTCTGTGTTTTGTATTCCCACCCACTACAGGAGTCTCTCTTTTGTCCTTTTCATTCAGCTCATGTAGATGTGTGTACATTTTACTGACACTTGGACATTAATGCTTTCTGTAATGTATTTCTTTCAGACATCATTGTTCTCATCGCTTCAATAGCAGTTGTTTCTGCAAAAACTCAAGGTAACATTTTTGCAACATCAGCACTGAGAAGTCTTCGTTTCCTACAGATCCTTCGTATGGTGCGCATGGACCGAAGAGGAGGCACTTGGAAATTGTTAGGTTCTGTAGTTTATGCACATAGCAAGGTATGTAATCCTAGATACTAATTTTGTCTGGTTGATATCTTCACTTGATGTGATTCAACAAGAGACCAAGGAAATAAGCATTTATCAGTTTTGAGCAGAATATCCCATATTTTCTGAAGTAACATCAATTGTAATATGAACTAGCACCAATACACCAGGCCATGTTTAATGCTAACAGTTTTTAGAGATCTTGAAAATGTTTTCCTTGATGGGCAGCTGTAATTTGTTATATGCTGGGGATGTTGCTGAAGCAAACCATAAGAGTAGATCTTGTCCACTTTCAGAGAAAATTTGCAGCCAAGGGAAGCACTTGACTCATAACTGCACAGATGCCAAAAAAGCATTTACAAAGATATTTTCATGATGTCTTCTTGAAATGTCATTCTATCCAGTCCATAAAATGGGAATTGATCTCTGTTCTTTTTTATCTAGGAATTAATCACAGCCTGGTACATAGGATTTTTAGTACTCATCTTTTCATCATTCCTGGTTTATTTGGTGGAAAAAGATGCAAATACCGAGTTCTCCACATATGCAGATGCTCTCTGGTGGGGCACGGTAAGTACAGAAAAATAACATGGACTCTCTAACCATGCTAAAGTGCTTTGAATTTCACCTGCTGAGGAATTTAACTTAGTGTGCTGTTCAGTGAATTGTTTTCACTGACAAAAAATGGTCTGAGAAACTTCCTCCTTCAGCTATTCATTTGCACATTGACAGATTATTTCAGTCCATCCTGCAGAACAGTTTATGTGTTTCTGCTGTAAACCAGACCACTAAACCTTCAAGACAAGAAAGCATTGTACTTTTTAACCCTTAGCCTTTCAGTAATATAGTTTGTAATATGGCCCCACAAAGAGCTGATTTGATACAAACCAGAGGGCTCTAAATGGCAGTGCAGGAAGAGGAAAAAGTGTCAGGAAAAAAGAGGGGAAAAATCTTACATCAGCTTTGGAATGAGAGTATGATCAGTGCCCATTAAAACATGTTGTTTCTTCTTCCTCTGTACCTTGAGGACAAAGACCAAGAATAAGTATGTCAATTCTGGTTCAGCAGTGTTATTTTTTACAGGTATACTTGAGATCATGGTTAACTATCAAATAAATTGGTTTTACTTTGTTGAAATCTGTGGGATCTAAGTTCATGCCTGACTGCTTTTCTGAAGGAGGATTATATGAATATTGTTAAAGAAACCAGGTTTTCAATGAACAAAAAAAGGCCTAAGTTTGAAGTTTTGATTTCTTTTTTTTAATGGCATAATGTGTAGGGGTTTTTTGCTTAAAAATGTCCTATAGTGATCCAGACTTCTCCACTGTGTGAGAGTTACTTAAGCAGCTTAAGAAATCTGCCCCAACAAAGCCTAAGGCAGTTATTGTCAGGCAGTATTAAACTGCTTTTCTTTTCCTTCTGATGCAGTAGAACACACAGAGTGTGCTCTGGCAATGTCTGGGTAGTGAAATGATACCTGAGAGATCATTAATGCTGACAATAATGTAGAACACTCATTAGTTTCCTTGGAATAAGTGTGAAACCTGAGCCAGCCTCTGCCACCTTTCCTTATCAGAGGGACACCAAAATGAAGCTTTCTCACCTCAGACCTTTTGCTGACAGGATTCCATCTAGATTTAGTAGTATCTGCAGGCTCAGAGCATGCACACAGGCACTGCACAAAAGCCCTTTCCAGAATGTCTTAAATTATTGAAAATATTTGTAAGAAGTTTTGTCTGCATTTTGAGCTAAGGTCAAGGTCCCTCACTATTATTAGGGGTAGTCAGTGTATTTGAAATTTGTTCATCTAAGGGCTGGTCATTTGTTGCACGTCTTCCCTAGAGACTGTATTTCTATGTTATCACTGCACAAAATTGGGAGCTTGGAAAAGCCACACCTACTAAATGTGTACATTTACAAACATTCAGAAATATATTTTGCTGGAACTTGTTGCTTTAGAGCAATCAAGGCAGATCACTGATAAAATATACTTTTTGTCCTGTAGTATAAACACACATAGAATTCATCTTGGCTAAAGTGATGGCACAAGGTTTTGCATTCAGTTCCGTCACTGTAGTTTATTTTGTTTCCCATTTCTTCAAAAGCTGAGTTCTGAGTTTTCTTAAAGCTTTCTAACCTTCCTGTATTGATAAGGTTGTGAAGCATCTGGCAATGGATGCTGATGTCCTCATTGATGGGTACCCCAGCTCTGGCAGTCTGGAAACACCCTTGCCCCTTTAGGGTGGCAGTGGGGATGTGGTCCTGTGAGAGACCCTCCTGTGGCTGTGCCTGTTCTTGGGAATGCATCTTCTCAGACATTTGATTTCCCAGAAAAAGCCTCTACCTTTCTGCAAGGCCCTGTGTGCCTTAGCCCTGCACAGGCAGGGAGAGGGGCTGAGCAGAGGATTGTACCCACCTGCCAGCTGGAATGGGGAAATGCATGCACAAGCAATGAGAAAGTCCCAGCAAACTCAGAGCTCCACTCTGGCATCTGACTGAGGCTCGTGTTAGATCCAGATCCTTCTCCTTGAGCTGCTCTAGCAGCAGGAACAAGGCCTTTATTTTAGAATTTGCTTCTCCACTACCTGCTGACTGCAATTTTTTAAGGAAAAACCCTGCTAGGAAATAATCATTGTATAAAGTGGTTCTTAAAATATTTTGTACACTATTAAGTGAAAGTGCATGACTCAGAGGTTGCATAAGTAGTGCAACTGAGAAAATCAGGAATCTTGCCTAGATTTCAGCAGGAAAAACAACAAAGTTTATTTTAAAACCTTAAAACAATATAACTTGTATTTTTCTATATATTTTCTTCTTTCCACAGTTTCCAATTAATACATTTAAGTTTTTAATGCACTTAAGCAAGTGCCCAAACTTACTAGAAATCACTGTTCCCCCTTATCTGATGTCTTTGCCATTTTAATAATAGTAATTTTTTTTACAATATGTAAAACAGTATGTGGGAAATGCATAATGTGCTTCTTAGTCATGGTTGTTTTTACTGCCAGAGTAACCCACATGCAGAGATTTGAAAAGGACAGACTGTATGGCATTTTAGGGGAAATCAAGGCTTAGTCTCATTGATTTGTTTATTTGCAAAAGTTGTTCTGACTTAAACCACAGATTATGTACCAAACTCTGGACTGAATTTTGTCATGGCAGAGGTACAAGACAGAAAAGGCTGCATCAAAGTCAGGTACAAAAAGTCACCCTAAATTTCAATCTTTTAGAGGCACTTATGCTTCTCTTTACAGGAGCCACACTAGCATACTGCAATTAACCCATTCTTTAATTCATATTACTTGAGGAGCATACACTGCTATGGTTATTTCACTGATTCCATTTCTGAAGCCCATATTTATATACAGAAATGAAAGGCAGGATATGGCATCCAAGTTTACATATGAATACTCCACTGTATTTGCAATTTGATGCTGTACTGTGCAACCTGCCATTGAATCATCATGTTAATATTACTACTGTGAATATTCTTGTGGTTAGAGTCTCCACAGTGCTGCCTAACACAGCAGCACACAATGGTGAGTGTTATATGAAGAGCTCAAGTTCAGAATTTGCTTTGGTAGAGAAGATAAATTCATTTAACAGAAGAAAATAATAAAGCCATATGGGAACAAAAGGTCAATTAAAAAACCTATCTACTTCAAAACCAAACCATACATGGTTTTCTGAGATATACTGATGTTAACTAGAACTGTGGATACTTACAGTGACATTTAGTTTGTACTTTAATTAGCTTTAGCTGCAAATGTAATACAGCTGAAGTTTCTGTCCCTCTTACACATTTGACAGAATTTCTCTTAAAAAGTATTTTCTAGCAATACCCAATAGTTACAGTTGAATGCAGAATGGCTCTTGCACTCCACAGTGACCTGTTAGTGAACAAAACATATTACAATGAATTACATTGGCACAATGACTAGCTCAAGTAAGTTAACATTGATGAAATTTTTCCCATATAATGTAATGATAGCATGAGCAAACTATATTTTTTTCAGTTAAGTGATGTCAGGTAACAATTCAAAAGGTAAGTACTGCTAGGAGAACATAAAATAACATCAGAAAGAAATATTAGGGTAGAGAATGGCCTCCTGAGTCCTATCTCATCTAATTGAAGTCATCTAAGTTATATCATCACATTCATTATTATATTACCTCATTTGTATTAGCATATTTATTAGCTCCAGCAATGAGATAACAGATGTTCTATCATCTTTGTGAGTTTTGAGCCTGGCCAGACAACACTGCCTACTTTGACTAGTCTGTCCAGACCTCTCCTTTATAGAAGTAACCAAAATGGAATGGTTTGCATCTGATGTAAAAGACAGGACTCAGCTAGCCCATTTAGCCATGCAGGAGTGTGATTCAGCTGCTTAGACATAGGCATACAGTACCATCAGAGATCTGTTGGACAGTCTGCTGCCTCTCCTGTGGGTGGTCCCTGTTCAGATGCCCTAGTACAGCTCTGGTGGTACTAGATTTTTTTTTCAGACAAGCCCAAGTCCTTCATTTTAGGATACAATAAGTTACCTTTGCACTTTGGCCGTTTCTCTTACCCACACAATGCTAGCTGTAACTTTTGTCTGCTTCTTGCATAATTATCAGTGATTCTGGAAATTTCTTATGTTGTCGTGTTTTCACATCCAGTAGTTTTCCACACCCTGCTCAGTTAATCTCAGGATTATGCCAGTCAAAGCCTGGCCAATGGTTTAGTCATTCACCAGCAGCACTTACAAAGAGGCAGTGGATTATTCCCAAACTCAACTTTGAAGTTGTCCAGAAAACGTTTTCTTAGTTGTGTGGTGAGAGTAGTATAAAATGAAGATCAAACCCCTTTGCTCAGTGTTGAGTAAGACAGTACAGCATGGTGCTGACACCTATATACCCCTGTAAAGACCATCCTGAGATAAAATAGCTCAAAGTGAGCAAGAAGCCTCTGATATTCTTAATCACAGGCTGATACCGTTAAGTCCTTAGTACCTAGAAGAATTGAGGGAAAGGCTTAATAGGGTCTTGTTATTTTCTTTGGAGAAATTTCAGAGATACACTCTGTGTGACTGCTCCTGGTTTTGGATTGCTCTCAGATGTCAGGTCTCAAAGGTTCAAGTTTATCTCTGACTTCTTTGGAATACAGTTCGGTGGCAATATCATTAATATGCAGATGACGCTTGGTTCTGTTTCCCTCTCATCAGCCCAGACAGGAGATATCTCTGTACTTTCCAGCAACTGGCGGAGATAGGGAGCTGGATGGAAGCCAAGAAAGTGGGCTCATTCCAGAGCTCCAAACTGCTTTTCAATAACTGGTCTGGAAACAAATTTTGAGGAACTTTTTATTCAGGGATTCATTTGTTCAAGTGTTTCATTCCTCTTGGGCTCTTAATAGCCTCAAACTGTTCTGCAGTTGCCCTCTGATGTGAAGAGCTGTGATTATCTTCTTCCACAAACAAATCAATCCCCTCTGCCAGGCCAAGACCATGGCTACACCAGCTCATCTCTGCCAGAAAAGAGAGAGTTGCATTCTCATGTTCCTTCCTCCTTCTTACTCCATCTCAGTCTCTAGCTGCCTTGTGCAGGCTCTGGAGCCTGTTGGGCACGTCTGTGAACTGACACAACAGACCAAAGCAGCAGAAACAAACCACGCAGCAATCTGGATAATTTTCTGTCCCTTCCTGGGTGGCATTGGCTTGCCTGAGTCCTGAAAAGGCTCAGAAGAGAAGATGGGGCAGGGAAGTGAAGAGGAGCAAGGAAGAGTGAGACCTGATAGCCATGCAAGGTGGTGTGTCTGTGACCAGGCTAGTGTTACAAAACTTGAGACTTGATAACTACTTGAAATTTCAGCTGCAGCCAGAATTCATCTCTCTCTCTCTTAGTCCCTGTGGCTTTCTCAGGGTAAATTACACCCGCAGCTTGTTCCCAACAATGGGAGCAATTAAAAGCACTGTTTACTATCTACAGAGTCCTAAATAGTAGAAATCTAATTACTTCCAAAAGACTTTCCTTCTTTTGTCCCGTGGTGACCCTGACATTAAATAGAATTGTTTTGGCCGTCTTGCCTAGGAATGAACTTTGAGGAAGCTGGAAGCAAAATAATGTCTCTAGAAGGCAATTTCCTGAAGAATCTGTTGCTGCCAGAATATTTGCTGAGCCTGAACTTGCCCACATTTGGTACACGATGTAAAATAATTCTCCATGCACATGTTCTCCCTAATAGCAGGCCCCGGCGTCCTTGGCACTCGGCCTGCTGTTGTCTATCTTTGTCCTTTAACATCGTGTGCCGCTGCCGGAGCACGCGCCCCGCAGCCTCCCGGCCAGCCCTCGGGAATCCTCGCTCTGCCCACGCCTTCTCCAGGTGCCCACACAGGACAGCTGCATGGGCCTGAACTCTGTGAAAGCACACAGACACAGCTCTTCTGCCAGTCCAGCCCCCAGACATGGGATTGGTGTGCTTCCTGGGCAGCAAGCAGCCTGGAGGGCAATTCCTTGGGGCAGGGAAAGCCCTCAGACTCATCTTTTGCCTTCAAGATGCGCTCAGCGAGCCCCAGCCATGCACCATTATCTCAGTGGCCGCGTTGCTCATGGCCAGTGGTCAATGAGCCCTCCCAGCCACACTGAAGCTTGCCTCCCCTTTCTCTGTGACCTGTCCACAGGCAGGGCTGAGCTAACATGGTCCAACAGCCCCAGGCACCTCTGCCTCTGCTGCTGCATAGTGACCTTGGGACCTTCGTGTCAGGAGTGACGGAGGTGTATCCGAGCCTGGCAGGAAGAAGGGGAAAGGACCAGAAACTTTACTTAAAGTCCCTCCCAGCTTTTCTTTAGTGTTTTTTGTGTTTCAGAAGATAATTCACTTCAAATCATACTGATGGGTTTAAAGAAAATGCAGCTGCTTCTTGCAATTCCTTTGACTTTATATCATCTGCAAGCATCCACTTCTTCCCTCCTATATTTTTCCAGTATTATCTCAATGTAATTTATATTTCTTGAGCTAGACAAATACATATAGTTATATTTTACCGCAGAAAACAGGTGAAACACCTTTACATCTATTGAAAAAAAAACTTTTTTTCTTCCTAACTTACATCATTTCCTACCATTTGCCTCAAATTTGAGATCAATGTAATTTTTCATTATTTTTAAACTTATTGCTTATTTAGATGTTTTTCTCACATTTCTTATTTATCTCTGTTTTATTTAGTCATAAACAGTATTACATTTTCACAGAAAAGAGTCAATGTTAGTATATTTATGTTCTTTTTTTAGAAACAGCTATATGTTTCAGATGTCTTGGATTAATTAGTGGAAATGCTGCTTCATGGAATGTAAATAATCTGCAACTAATCTGTCAGTGAGTTCTGGTAAACCATATTGTTCATTCATTTCTTTTTAGATCACATTGACAACCATTGGCTATGGAGACAAAACTCCTCTTACTTGGCTTGGAAGGTTGCTTTCTGCAGGATTTGCTCTACTTGGCATTTCTTTCTTTGCACTACCTGCTGTGAGTATGCCTAAAAAATTAATAAAAAATAATAGAAATTCCTGTAGGTCCTGTCACTGTTATGATATAAAAAGCTGAAGGAAGCTGTCCACATGAAGAACAACTCTTTAAGGCTTTTTGCTCTGCAACAGCACTAGTGAAGTGCGATCCAAAATCCAAAGAAAAGGTTTGGTGTCTTTGCTTTAGTTTTGGGAAGTTTCTCTGGCATGGACAAAACTGGAAAATAACCTAAATTAGGTTACATACTGTTGTGTAAAGTTGAAAATCCTTCCTTTTGTTATGAATTGTGACATATATTACTACTTTTCTTTCAAATTTTTCAAAACAAAACAAAAATAAAAGCAGATTATATGTTTTTCTAACTTAGATTATAGTGAAAAAAATAGGCCTTTCTAATAGCATGTTTTGTATGGCCATACAACCTTCCAACAGAGAGTAGTAGAAGGCCTTAAATCAACTAATGGTTAACGTTGTTGAATGCAAAAGATGCAACTATCATTTTCTGTGAAGAACAGAAATAAATAAATAAACATTGCAGTTTATTCATGTTTTTTCTATCAATGTTCAAGAGACTAATGGAAATGGAAATTATCTAATGACTAAAATATAGTGTAGCTTCAGAAATAAATTCTCGGTTTTTTGAGTGAATCTCTTTTTTTTTGATTTAATTAGTTTTGAATAAGCATTAAATGAGAAGTGGTATTTGTATTTTTTGTATTGTTTCCAGTGCAATGTCTTTTGATATTTTAATACTCAAACACTTTATCTGTAAATCATTATAAAACATGGATATTATAATACTTCATTTGTTTTCAACCATATAGATAAACCAAGATTAAAAATCTTCATTTGTCAAGAGCATTAAATCATCTGGTGCACTGCATTTATTTCTTACTCTAGCTACAATGAGTATTTCAGTGTCTTTGACATACTATAATGCATTATAATTATAACCCATTACCTGTTTGTGAATCCTTGACATTTATTGACATCTACTGTAATTAATTCCTTTTGTCACCTAGTCACCACTAACAAGAAAGCTAGTCTTAGCAGCACTACAATGAAAAGATGAATACCCTTGCATATTAGAGATGCCACAACTTTTGTTCCTCATGTCATATCTATGTACAGATACTAGTTTTCCTCATAAATACTTCAGTGCTGAATCTGTCTGTAAAAGAAGAGGTATGTGGGAAACTTTTGCACTTCTTATAGTATTTTATCCTGACTAAGAATCAAGTGGAAATATTCTTCCTTATAATGCAGACATGTCCAGCAAAATTATTGCATTCCTTGCAAGTCAAGAAGGAAAACATCCTCAATTTTTGGATCTATTCAGTTAGAATCAAATTTATCTTACTCAAAGGTAAAAGGCTAAAAGAGGAGAAGTTTCATAAATAGCTTTTTCATAGCCTCTAGAATGAACAATGGGTATTATTTAATGGGAAAGATCAAGAAGAAATGCATTTTCTAGCTTTTCTAAAATCAAAAGTTCCAAGTTCTGCAGATGTGGACTTTGATGTCCATGTATATCTGGCATACCTGTCAGCTGGTCATTTCCTCATTCCTGACTCAAGCTGCTCTGAATATTCCTGCTTGATTTTATAAATTCATATCTATCTCTACGGCCTTGGTAGTTACAGGAACATAGTGTAGCACAAAACCAGGCAATGGGTGGTCATTGGTAGCACCACAGATGTTATGTAAGGGATCTCCTGCTTCACCAGGAAAAGGGGAACTGCTTCTGTGCCTACTACTATCATACACTTAAATGTGTTATCTGAAGCAACTATATGGTGTAACATCTTCACAAACTCTTTGTAGTTGATGATGTATGTTTGTTCAAAGACTACCTACACATTGATCAAATGATATTGCAGGGCATCCTTGGCTCAGGATTTGCACTGAAAGTGCAGGAACAGCATCGTCAGAAACACTTTGAGAAAAGAAGGAATCCAGCTGCAAGTCTAATTCAGGTAAATATGAAATCACCAAAAAGATAATCACAGGTGATTTAAAGTACATATTAGAACACGTCTTATTTCCATTTGGAAAGTTTTGTGGAAATAATATTTAACAGATTGGTTAGTTTCATTAAATAACTGTGTTCAGTGACTGCTATGTGTTGCCATAATTCTGTACAGAATCACAATTTCATTTAGGTTGGAAAAGACCTTTAGGATCATCAAGACAAACTATAACAAGACACACAGCATTTCTGTGTGTATTTTTTGTTCCTCTATCCATGTTAATGAGACAGAGGAAAGGATGCCAAATGCATGCCTGCAGTCAGAAAGCTGTTTGGAAAGAGAGAATTGATCCCTAGATAACCCAACTGACAGCACAGTGCTCTTGCCTATATTAAGCTACTTTTCATCTACTGCAGAGTTTAGAGTATTTCAGTGAGTGATGTACTTGGTGAAGATGAAACGTGTCCTGCCCAGAGAATTGGTTTCACTATGAGTCAATTCAAAAGCTAGAAATGTAGGCACAAACAATTTTAAAATGTCTGAAATTGTCTGAAATTGTTCTGATGTGATGGTGCAAATCAACAAAAAGTGGCATGGTATGTTTTGCATTGGCTTTTTCCTTAACTTTCAGTCCTAGTTAAAACTGAGAAAATACTCCAAAGAATCATTTTGCACCAAACTTCACTCTACTTGATGCACTGAAAAAAAAGGGGGGAAATAATCTCCTAAAGTCCTAGTTTATTTTCCTGGGATGCCAAATATTCTATGTGTGCCATGTATGCTGGATTTTATTTTTGAAATAGTAAATCCAAATAAAGAAGCTGAGTATGAATATGCTAGAGTTCCGTGCTAAGTACTGATAGATCTCAGACTGTCTTTGAAGCATTCTTAAAGTTAATAAATGTTTTCCATTATTACTGTTCAATTATTATTAAATTCTAAATATTTAAAAGTTAAATTTTTTTAGAATAATTGACAGAAATAATTCCACTTCTTTTGAGTCTAGTTTAGAATGACTGTCTGGCATATTTTCTAACACATATATTCTGATATACTTCTTCCAAGTTTGGTTGCCAGAGGAAACACATAATAGATTTAGGTTTTAGATATAGCTCTTATTATTATTTTATGACAGTTCAACCAAAATATTAGTAATACAGCATGCTAAGTAGATTAAGAGTAGCTAGCTGCCTGATTTTGGAGATTGATTCTCAGCAAGTAAAATCATTGTGAAAGGAAGACATTTGTTGTGGGATCCCACGATGAAGGCTGTTCAGCATTTACAGGTTCAACACTTTCAGTGATCCAGAAATTAATATAAAATTGCTGGTAGAGATATTTCCTGAAGGCACAAGGCCTGGCAGCATAGGAAATATGAGAACATGCACACAGGAATAAAACCAAGGATGATCTGCGTGACTTTTAGTGTGAAAGGATCACTGCCAAATGTTTTAATACAAAAATGCAAAACTTGATCTGGAAACTGAATCCAGATAATTATAAGATGTCTCTATCCCAGCATTAGTGAATCAGGAAAGGATTTGAACAAGCATGAGAAATACAGAGGAGAAAGACTGGGAAAGAAGGGTCAAGAGCTTCATACAAGTTCCCAGTATGTTAGTACACCTGGTTTTATTAAAGTCCTTAGATACAGAACCAGTAACATAATGAGGAGAAGACTGATCCTACCACTGTGTATGATGATGCTCATACTAATATGCTACATATCAACTCAGCATCTACAGTTTGTAAGTGAGACTGAAATATTGGAGAAAGCAAATAAAACATTGGAAAAATGGGTCAAGGACTGGAGAAAATTTCATGTTCATAAATGCAGAATGCATCTGAACAGCATATCACTGGGTCCTGTAACAGTGCCCAGGTGTTTTTTTAATTGTCTCTAGCTTATCAGGATGTCTATTTTTTAACCAGTTACACTGTGCTAACTCATCTATTGCCACAGATAGACACTTTGATAGAGCCTTGACCTGTAGATAGCTGTAGAAAAGTGAAATATTTGGTCTGGATATACTTTTCTCAATTTCTTTAGCCCATAAGAAATATTTCGTGTGAGAATTATTTGAACACAGAAGCTCAGAGAGGAAGTCTTAAAACCTACTGGACCATTTAATGTAGTAGACAGAAACATAACAAGTAACTCTGGCTATAAGCCAAAACCAAAGAGTTTCAAATTAAAAATAATGCAGAAATTTTTGACAACAAGAATGATCAACCAATGAAGCAATTTTTGAAGTGAGTAACAGGTTCTCCATCTGTTAATGAAGACTGGATGTGTTTCTGGGAGATACACAGTAGGAAAACACAGGGTATTAGATTCCATACAAGAATACCTAGATGACATTTAATGGTTGACAATACACAGGAAGCACAGATGCTCAGCTAGTACAAATTAATATAGTTATGCTGACATCAGGGAACATGTCCCAGCTCGTAGAACCGAGGCTCATCTTACTATCTACATGCATTATAAATCTAAACAATGGACACATTTTCAATGCTATGCTTTGGTTACTCACTTTTGCTAAATGTTTAAAAACACAAAATGAATAATTTCAGTGTTTCCAACCATAGAGAATGCTTCTCTTTTCTTCTAAGTGTTTTTTGGTCTGGTTTTCGTTATGATTTGCAGAATGTATTATGACACTTTCTTTACGTCAGATTGCGAGTTTGTGTGGGTGTCCCCTATGGACTTGTCATAAATAAATCACTGCAATGCTTTTCTGAGCACCTTTATGTGCTGAATATCTTCTGGTGCTTTCACAGAGCCAGTAAGTCTTATCTTACTGCATGAGGTGTACTAGGATTCACAAAAGTTTTGGTAGGTTTGTACTGGTATTTCCTGAATCAGCCTAACCAAGCACATTCTGGTCTGAGCAAAATCCCCTCACTCTGTGGTCAGTGTGGTGGCATTGTCACTTCATTTTCTTGGTTCCTTTGTGCTTTTCTATTGTTTCCCCATACCAGGCTTCCTGGCGGTTTTATTCTACCGACGCCAGCCGAACAAACATGGCAGCCACCTGGCGATATTATGAAAGTATTCTTCCTCCCCTCAGGCATGTATCAGTGCTATGAATGATAAGAGAAAGATACAACTTGTATCGGTTACTAATCTGCTTTTCAATTTTTTGTTTCATCCCCTATTCCCTCTTGCCTTGTTTTTTCTTTTTTTACCGTATATCCTGCACGTAGTGTGTATGGCGTAGTTATGCTGCTGATGAGAAATCAGTTTCCATTGCTACCTGGAAGCCTCATTTGAAGGCCTTGCATACCTGCAGCCCTACAAAGTAGGTACAAATATGGCAGCTGGTGCTGTTTTTGATGTGTGTTCAAGCTTATAGAGAACTAGTATTTGTCTGTTTCGTCTTGGTTTGTTGTCTTAAGTCCTCTCAAGTCCTCTCATAAAAAATTTCAACTAAAAAATCAGATCACTATAATGTAGGAGCCTAGGAACAAATACAAATCATTGCTATTTATCTTAGAAATGCACAGGCATTAGAAACATTTTCCCAACAACCCACTCATTCATCACAGTTAATGATTCACCTCATTCCAAATTATCCTCAAGAAGAAAAATATTAAGTTTAATGCAGAGCTTGTCCCTTGGTTCAATGGTATGTTTATGCCTGTGCCTCTGTATAAGGCTGTAGCTGCTGATCCACCTTTCCAAAGAAAGAGTGCCTTGTGCTATTTTGCAGTTGAATGCACTGGGGAATTTGCTCCTTTTTGTCATAACTTCTGATATATTCAGTATTTCCTTAGGACAAACTATATATATATATATATATATATATATATATATATATATATATATATATATATATATATATATATAGGACAAACTATATATATAGCAGTCATACATACAGACAGTAGAAGATGACTGAAAAGACCTGGTGCCACAGTTTGGCAGACAGGAAATATTTGATATCCTAGTCTGAGTGAGAATTCACAAAGCACTGGCAGCCCAAGACTTTTCAATAATTCAATAAAAGGTTTAGCAGAAGGCAACAAGTTGATGATTCAATATGGGGCACAGATCAGGAAGCAAAAAACACTTGATAAGGATCAAAAAGGAGAGTGCTAAGAGCCTTATGGGAAAGCTCTGATAAGCATCTTAACTGTTGTTAATTGCAGACAGTGCAAGAGAATTAGTGGTTTCTCTCAAAGCTGGGTGATGAACATCCACATGACAGTAAAAAGGTAATTGTGTGCCAAAAAGCTCGGCCAAAAAGAAGTTTGGCTGGGTATCCAAAGCTGATCTTTGAATTTCAAAGAGTTGACAAGAACAGAGCCGTAAGTAAGCCATTACCATAACTCTAATTCCAAACTGCTCCACACTAAAAGAACCTTTTAGACTAAAAGTTACATGAAGTATTGATATTTTACATGTACAAACAGGCTGAAAGCAACATTAGTATAAATGGATGGATAGAAAATTACATAAATAATGAAGCTGTATCCCACATAAAATATTCTAAAATATGACTGTCCCTCAAAAATGCATATACTTCTTATTTTAAATAAGCATATTGCTGTGCTAAAATGAAACCTTTTTATTTACCAGAAATAACATATCTAATAAGAAACTACAGCTTTCTGTTATATATGTGTCAGCAATGCATTTTGCCTAAGTGCTTTGCCAACTCAGTCTGCAGTGGTATGTACTAAGCATGTTATGCATGTGTTAAAAAACCTGAAAAGTTTCTTTTCCAGAACCATTTTAGTTATGAGTCTTGCTTGAATGTTTTTGTGGTTGCAATGTAACGTGTGTGTTGTGCACCAATTAACATATCCATTTATGTCTATTATACATATAACATCATCTCTAACTAAGTAATGTGATTACTATCTGCATAACAAGTATGTTTTTCCCTCCCACTCCCTGACCTGAAGAAAAGAACAAGGGGAATCTTCTAGCAGGTTTGTAGTTTCTTTTATTTCTTTTATCTATGAAATTGCTGTTTCCTAATGGCTTTTAGATGTCTTGGGTTCTGTACAGTAGGTTCAATGAACTGCAGCCATTGATGGATAATAGTCACAAATTGGATCTTTTTAAACTTATATGCTGCTGAAATTTGCTTCTTTGTGCCAGTTTTTCTATGGAAAAAATAAGCAATTTTTTACACATCTAACATGCTGTAGCTTTGAGAAAAGCTCAGTTTGGACAATGACAGAGCAGCCAGTGGACCAGCCTTCCCAGACCCAGCTCCTGGGCAAGGACATGTCCCCAGCTTCTGCTGTAAAATCAATGCAGAATTTGCAGAGGAAATTACAGACATATAGTTTAATTTGGCAATGTGAAGAAGCCCACCAACCCTCCATTGCAGGGAGAACCCTTTGATGGGTCTGGTTGGATGTCACCTTTGCTCTGCAGGAGCATTCTCAAGGCTTCCTCAGTGCCATGTCTCCACATTTTCTAACTTTTCTGTCATCCCCTCCTAAGGAGAATTTTGGGACATAGGAGGCTGGGGGAAAGCAGCACTGCAGTCTCACCTCCTCCTGTCTGCATGGCTTGCAGTCCCCCATGGCTCAGTTCAAAGCCCCACTGCTGTCAGCCAGGAGCCCAGATGGGCTCCCACCCAGCCTAGATCCCCGCTGAGCTCTGACTGCCCACAGCTGGCAGCAGCAAGCCGTGGCAGGGCCATCCTCACTGGGTAAATAAAGCTCTGGAGAGGCATGTCCTAAGGCACTGGGAGAAAATGCTGGTCTTTGCTGCACTGATAGCCCAAATCCTTAGGGACAGGAAAGGCTTCAGTGGCTAGAAATGACTCTATCTCAGAAACTCGTTAGGGATGGGAATCAGCAGGCATTTGGCAGCTGGCACTGTGGTATCAGCACGCTCAGAGAATAGCAGAATTTACCTCCCAGCAGAAAACACTGAAAAGCCAAGAAAGAAAGTGTTGATGACATATCAGCCCCTGAAATACATCCAGCCCCAAGTTGTACTGTGCTTCACAAGTGCTTCTGGGTTATTCTGTCTTCACATCAATTACCCACGTCCCATTCCACTTCCCAGACTGCTCCTCTGGCACCTGACTCCGACCTTTTCCTCCAAGCACATGTAACTGCTGTTAGTGTCACTGTAGCTCAAGGGGACAGGATTTGCTCTGTCAGTTCTGGGACTTTTTGTATACATTACCTCCACAGGCCTGCTAGCAACACATTGATCTCATTAAATTATTACAGTCTGATCCAAACTTCTTGCACTCACCAGCTGTATTTCCTAGTCTTTTGACAGCAGCATATAAAATTGACTTTTTTAAAGGTGAGACAGAAGTTGCCAGTAAATGAGTATATCCCTCTAAAACTGGCATTTGTGCAGAGGGGAGAGGTTATTCCCAGTTGTACCAGCAAGCACTAAAAGAGACAAATTTACTTACAATAACTGGAAACTAGATGAAAAAAAAACCCAAACACCCAGCTGTCAAACCATGCTATGCTCTCCCTATTGATGATAACAACTGTGGCTTTAAAATAAGTCAACAATTTAGCCAGATTTATTCACTTTATTTTCACTGAATGGAAGATGTTTACTCCTTCAGAAACACTTAATTAATACATGCACTGCTGCAAATTAGTGTATATGTAAAAATGAACTAGTTACTTCTAAGATCATGTTCTACTGTAAGAGCCCTACAGACCACTCAGTGCCTTTTAAAAAAGATGTGTTTTTTCATTGGCTGTTTATTGCTCTTTTGCTGATATATCACTGTATGTATCACTGAAAATACAAGTGGTGTATGTGGTCTTTTGTGGCAAAGATGTAAATGCAAACTGATGCAATGTACTTTGAGATACCTGTCCTTGACTACTTGTTTCTTACTGCAATGCTAAGTGACTTGCATGGGATGCTATGCAAACAAAGTACAATTCTTCTTGTTTCACTCTTAAATGAAGAAGTGTTTGCACAAGCAGTACATTGGATTGAATTCTGAACATGCTCTTTGCTCTATGTTCCCTTCTAAGAACAGTGAAGAAAATCTTATATTCAGGAAAAGTTCATTATCTTCTTTCCTACCAAATTGACTTATATTTACAGAAATTAATTCTTGTGTTTTGTCATGTATAAACCTGCAGTCTTTCATTAGGTGATGAAATGCTGCTATGTGTTTGAGTTGAGAGAGTTGTGTTTATGAGGCTGCAGCTTCAGATTGATTTTAATATGTTGTATTTCCCAAATTTTTACACACAAATATTCTAATGAATCATTTATCAAAGTATTGGTAGACAACCTCTCTGGTGTATCCAGGCTATAAATGAGATATTTCTATAAATCAGTTCCAGTGTTGTGCAAGTTATTTTAAAAGACTATATCTTAAATTCTTAGTATCTGCAAATGCACACACTGAAAACAAACAAACATTTATCTCTGTTCAGTTATACAACATGGCTGAAATAGTTCCTGTGCAGGAAACTAGATCAAGACTGATGAATCTTGTCACATACAGAGAGCATAATCAGTCTTAAACTGTGTGTAGGACATGCACTGGGTGTCTGCAAAGGATGAATGTCACCCATCTAGTCTTGTAACTCATGAGGCTGAATATGCATTCCCTATTCAGACAATTCTCTCTGGTGCAATAAGAAGCAGTTTTGCCAGTATAAGATCTTCAGGGGAAAACTCAGCCCTGTTCTGAGGGAAACAAGTAAATTATGTTATGCAATTCTTTCACCTCCTATACAATATCTGTTTCTAAAAGTAGATTTAATGTAAAAAACTCTGCATGCACCATATAAAAAAAAAATTGCCAATGATGCATAATCTAACTTGAGGTGGAAAACCTAACCCCTCACCCAGCACTGGAATGCTTAGTAACAGAGTCCTCTATCTCCCCTCACTCCTAGTAAGCTTTGTAGTAATAAACAGAAGCTCTTCAGGATGTACACCCCTCGGAAACATAGGTATTCAGCATCCTGCCTATTCACATGATGTTTGAGAATGCCAACTAACATCAGGTGCATGATCCATTCACTTCCCCTCCTCAGTGCTTTCAAGTTCCTTACTTCTCCAAATGTTTCCTATTTATTTTAAGTGCTTGTAAGTCCCTTTTTGCTTGTTGCCTGCAATGCCATGAACACAATGGCAGCAACACCAGTTGTTTCAAACTCATCCAGCCAGACAATTGCAGTGGCAGCACATCGCAGTTTTACAAAGCCCCATTTCCCTTCTCTGCTTGAGACTTCAACTTTTGGAATGCATTACCCTGTGGAGATCTAAAACTGGGTTTGAATATTTGGGTAAAGCCATTTCCCCAAGTCCAAGAGGATTTTTATGACCATGACAGTTTTCTCCATCTAATTATTAGTGGAGAATATCAAGCTATAGCATGCTAGGCAATTACAACAGCCAAAATGTGCAATTGTTCTTGAGAAGAATCCCCTTGGACACAGCTTGTGGATGATGTGCCTGCATCCTTTACTGGAAGATAGAGGAGTGCATGTGAAATCAAGCATCTGCTTCAGCTGAATTCTCTAGAAATTGTGTCTCTTACCAAAAATGGTAATTCCTAGACAGATTAATCTTACAAGAAGAAGCCTATGATTCATATCTCAAGCTGATTGCATTTTTTCTTACTTATTAAAAGTAATGTAAAAGACAGTGGAAGTACAAACTGATTACAGAAAATTAGGATCAAAATAGTTTCTCTTCATTTAGAAATTGCTTTGAAAAGGAAAAAATGCACAAGCACCCTGAATATTTACTTTTTCTGATTGACAATTGAAATATAATATATTGTGGGCTAAAATTCTTGCTATTACTTATTGAAGGTATGAGATACAACAATAAATTTCTTGAGTTTGTGGTCCTAGCATGAGACTGGTGGTGAAGTCTTTGAACTTTAGGTCTCACAGTATTATCCATTGCATTTGCATTTGCTCAACCTAGCTAAATTTCAGTAAAAGTATTTGTAGGCTCAGAAAGAGCCAACACCTGTGTTTATAGGTAGCCAGCTACTGAAAATTGGCACGTGCATCTGCTTGCTGTTGTTTGCCATAAGTGATAATTTTTGGCAGTTTTAGCTTCTGTCTCAAGACTCAAATCCTTCTTCCTCACCCTCAGGCCCTCCAGTTATTTCTGATTCATTTCAATTTCTTCCTATTCTTGCTTCCACCAATTGGCTCAGTAAGAAAAGCTGAAAAACAAGGTGAAATTATAGCTAGTAGCAAGCAGTAGTGCTGCAGGTCTGAGACTGAGGCAGAGCAGAAGTTTTAACTTGACCAGAAATCTAGGAAGGTGGCAGGCAAATGGGGGAGTGGGACTGGGAAGGAAAGAGATGCTCAGTTAATAAAGTACAGGGAGATGATCCGTGGAAGACAGAGCAAGCAAAGGTTTGCGTGCATTTGTCAGTTAAAACCAATGACTACTCTGGAGACTATTTCTCCAGAGAAAAGTATCTCTGGAGACTACTTCTCCAGAGTAGTCATTTGGACCGGGAGAAAGTGATCGTTCCTTCTGAGTGAAGCTACAGTGACCTCTAGTGTCCCTACACACCCATTCCTTCATAGATCAAAGGTGGCAAAGGCAGAATTTGAAAACGAAGAAATAAAAATTAGAAAGTCATTTGCTATCCTAGGGAAGTGAGGGCCTTGGGCATTAAATGGGAGGAATAAGTCATAAGATCCTACAACTGACCTTTCAGAAGGCAGAGAAATACAGAAAAGTCATTTGCTTCCTTTTCTATAGCTGCCAGTTGTAATTACTCTCCACTTAAAAGATGCTTCAAAGCTTCGAGTGTTATTGATAAGAATACATTCCACAACTTTCAGCCTGCAAGAATAGAGGAGTGATAGGTCCAAAGGAATTACCATTGCCAGGAAAGTCTGTCATGGAAGAAAAATGTGTGTCAACCAATTGAGCTAAATTATAAGTCATACAAAGTACAAGAAATGATGGACAGACACACATCTAAAGGAATGCAGAGATAACAGGAGACAGCTGTGGATCTCTCAGATCATCGTAATTTAGTTTTGATTTAGGAACTTGTGCTATTTTATTTTCCTGTTTCTTTCTCATGGTTTTTGCCTTTTGGACAAACACACGAAGTTTGTGAATACTTATGGGGATGGGTGAATATCCAATGGTAATTAACAGGTTTACATTGATTCAAGGGATTTCCTTTGGATACCATGTAAAAAGAGAGGAGAAAAGGTGAAAGATAAAAATATAATAGGCCAGGACCTGAAAGATTTGAAGGATTTTTAGCACGCACAAGCCAGTACTGATACAACCAACATTAAATCAGAATAAAGGGCCCTAAAGGAGTCACTGGCTATTGATTCAAATACAGAATGTCCAAAGATGCTTGAATGGTGTGTTATCTTCACTCTGCAATTTTAACACCATCTCTACTGCTGTTGCAACAAAGAATCTAGAGCCAGGAGCTAGGCTTTATCATAACAAGAAGGACTTTTGCTCTGGAGAAAAGCCTGGTCAGGGAATGCTCAAAGTGCTCTGATTCAATTACTCCTTCATGGTCTGTTATTTCTCATACATGCAAGAGCCCCAAGACAGTGTGTTCCCAAGCACAAGCTTTCTTCTCCCAACCTTTCTTCTCCACTGTCAGTCACACAATTTATGCCTGTGCTGAGAAGGACCCGGTGACTTCAGGAACATTTCCCACCAGTCTCAAAATAGGAACAAGGATCCAAGAAGCAAAGAACTGCTCTAACTAGTCTCTTTGGGTACGCATCTCAAGATGCAGAAGAGAGTTTTCAAACCCCCCCTTCCTTCAGGGCCTGTGTTTCTCTTCACAATGCAATACTCTCTGCATGGACCCTTGGCATGCCAGTACATTGTCATTGCTACAAAGCAGACTTGATTTGAGTTTTTAAGTAAAAGCACTGCAGTTTACATTAATATTTTAATTCTCAGCATTGCACTTTTGAAAAATGTCTGTAGTAGAGATAAAATGCCTACTGTTCCTTTCACCATTGCCTTGCTGCTTTGATTGGAGAACTAAAGATATTCAGGTTAAGTAGTCATTGTGTACCATTCAGCTTTTATAAATGAAATAATCATGTCTAACAATCATTTAAAGGCAACCACTGCTTTCATTAGTACAAATTAATTGACAGAACAATACATGTGCTGTTTTGACATTGGTTTTAAATTTTCATTTTTATTTTGGAGTTGTTATGATTATTTAAAAATATTACCTATATAGATAGGTTTTATGACTATTTTACCCATTTGCCTGTCATTTTTATTAGTGCAGCAGGAAGAGAGCTGTCCAGAAACTTTTTAACTCTAATGTTTGGGGGAAAAAAAGCATCAGCTGACTTCATTTTTCAATAGCAAGTACAATTTGAGCCATAAGGGGAGTTAAAAAAAAGGGGGACACTTGTAGGAATAATATCTATAAGAAGAAGTCAGTTTTGATTCTCTTCCTCATTCTGTATAATATGACAATGCAATAATGTTGTTAATAAATATTGTACAGTTTTCATACATATTTTCATTGCTGAGAAATGCAAAAGATTCCTGAGCTGAAATATAATTCAGTCTTGAAATGTAATTTGTATTCAAAGCTAAATTCTGGAACACTTTTCTTTCAAATATTAGGTTCTGTGGATCTTTTGTATTCCTTATGCCACAGCATTGGGTAGCAATTTACAATGGAAATAGATAACATTTTCGTCCCTGTGATGTATTTATTTCAACAATTGCTTATTTGGGCAAGAAAAGAAGGGGATTACATTGAGAAATTATAGTAAAGGTATTATTCTTTCAAGTAATCAAACATGCCATATAGAAATATATTTATCTAATAATCTTCCTATTGATGTGCTCATTTTTTAGTATTCTTGAAAATTATCACATTATAAGCATCCCAGCATGTGTTTTGCCTGCAACAAACTGCATCCTTTCTGTTCTCAAGAATGTTTGTACTCAGACTGAAATGCTATGCTTTGCTATGCATGGACAAAGATATGTTTATCTCAACATTTCATGGCCACATAGGTTTATTACTTCTTCCCATTTCATATAATTACATGTTAACACTGTATTTTCAGAATGCAGTAGGTTAAACATCTAAGAACCACATAGTCCATATTAGCATTAGTTAATTATCTCAGGATCTGTTCCTGTTCAAAACATCTTATGGGCATGCTGAAATTAAATGCAAAGACCTTGAGAGTACTAGAAAGTGTCTTAGCCTCAAGCACCCCCATAATTTTCAGGTAGACAGTCATTGGTAAAGGTGTTTTAAAAGACCCCCTGCAAAGCCTACACCTGGGCAGTAGGACTGCAAGTCCCAGTAACACCATACCATGAACAGACACTGCATTGCACTCATCATCTCTCCCCTTGAAAAAACAGGACCACTGATCAAGGTGACCATTCCCTTGCTCAACCAATTGAATTTTACCTTGCACATAAAACAAGGTTTCCAGACCTTGGTATCAGACTCCTTCTCTGTTTGCTCTTTGTGTCTTCTGCTACAGGAAGGGACAAAGAAAGGCAAAAATGTTAAATAATTAAAAAGCATAGGTAGATAGTCACAGTGACCACAGGATGTTCATCAGATATGTTTGGACCAAGGTAATTTAAGCACCAGGAAATAGAAAATCTACAAACCCACATTTAGCTGGCTGGGGGAGAGGATTACAGGCGCAGCAGGAGGAAAAAAAAAACTCTTAAAACTGGTCAACCATAAGACCACAGGGTCAGCATTGATGCAGCAGACACAGTCATGAGTTTGGCTGGGCTCTGTTACCTGTCCAGTACCACCTGCACATGGTCAGCTCCCAGCTAAATCTTCAGCAATGACTTTAGGGAGCACACAGCATATCATTACATTTCCACTAATCAGCCATCATGCTGTTTCTTGGATATTTTATTAATTTTGGTTTTGTCTTGTCCAAGTAAGTGCTCTAACAAGGAATTCTGGATATGAGTGATCACTAATCATGCATATGAAATGTTTGAAGTGCCACGTCCTGCAAAAGCATGAGTATACGCTAACAGTATTCTTTGCCTGCTTACAAAATCCTCAAACCAGACAATACTACATGGCATGCAGTAACAATAAAATACAGTTTGGTTTTGTTTATCTGAAGATATGGCCAGAAATGCACTGAACTTGGCTGGCTAAGATGGAAACAAACCTTCAAGTTCAAGGAATAGAAAAATCATCATAGAGATTAATGTATAATAATTGGGTGAAATTGTTTCTATTTGTTATTTTTAATTTCCTTTAGAAGGTTATTCTGTACTGTATGATAGACTGGCAATGCTAATGCTTCTATCAAAAACCATCAAATCAGTTCCATTCACAAATTAAATATATTCAATGAAAATAAAAGTTTATAAGAAACAGATTCATACCAGTGGATTTTTTACACCATTTTTTCAATAATCATACAATAGAAAAAAGAAAAGGATTGAAGTAACTATGAAATAAAATATATTTCTCTCTCTCACAGTCAAAAGCTAAGTTTCAAGGAGCGGGTCCGGATGGCCAGCCCACGAGGTCAAAGTATAAAGAACAGGCAATCTTCAGTGGGAGATCGCCGGTCACCGAGTGCTGACATTGCCACCGAGGGCAGCCCAACCAAAGTGCAGAAGAGCTGGAGCTTCAATGACCGAACCCGCTTCAGGCCCTCGCTGCGGCTCAAGAGCTCCCAGCCCAAACCCATGGTTGATGGTAGGAGTTGTTCATCCCTTGTTTGCCACTGCACGCTGCTCCCAGCTGCTCACACTCCTGCACACTTGCACAGTGATTGTACACATTTCAGGAAGGAAGAAAGAATTGCTGTTTGGGGCCAGAGACACAAGTCAGCTATAGTCTGCTTCAAAGACCCCAATAATGTGATTATTTTTTTTAATAAGAAATCATGTCAGTGGTGCTTAGGGAGCAACTGGTGGAAAAGGGGGTCACTGTGAAAAGTCACAGTGAACTAAAGGCATCCCAGGGAATTGGCTGCAGCAGCTTTTCTGTCATGGCCCCTCTCCCACTACTGAGCTCAGCTGCTGCCCAAACCTGCTGCCTTTTGCTGGTGTCAACACAGCACAGCCAGCATTGTCTGTGCCTTTGCCAGCCAGGAGCACAGCTTGTATACAAGTGGCTCACTCAGGTAGAGAAGTCCCAGTGCCTGCACTGGTGATGCAATCACCTGCCACCAAGGGATACACTACTGGGTGCTTTCAGTTTTACAGGATTGTATCTGCCTTGATAAGGCAGGTAGATTTTGCAAACAAAACAAGTGTTATTACTTTTATGTATTGCTTTCTATAGGGTATTTTGGATGTAGGAAGCACTCCTAAAATGTAAAGAGGTGGATCTTTTAAAAATGGCTTGTTGAACCTTTAGCAGGCAGCTCAGCCTTTCCCTCAAGCTGCCTCCTATACTGCTCTATTCTCTAGCTTAAGTCAAATTTGGCATTAAACTAACCGGTATTCGGGCAAGGATCTTCATCTGATGAAGCCTGCTAAAACAAAGGCAGTGACTTCTCTAACCAAGGAGCACCAAACTGGGTAACAGCAGCCCCCTGACAGGCAGGACCTGAGAGAACCAAGTGAAACTGACCCCTGTGTGGGACGGGTCCAGCACTGAAAGATGCACTCACATAGCTCTGGGGGTACTGCTGCCCCAGTGGATTTTATTTTGGCTTTTGCCATTCCCATATTTCCCAATCTATGAATGTTTTGTTCTTTCTTGTGGTACACTCCATGTAAAAACAAGGGAAACAAACTGGTTTACTGCCACAGAATGCAGTGACCCTACCTGAATGGGAAAGGTACAACCTCTTTCTGCAATGGCATCATGCATGCTACATCCAACAATTGTGGTAAGACTAATTAGACAGAAGTGCAATGTTGATGCTGCTTCCTTTTTAAGAGCACATATTATCACAAATGTGTAAGTTGCAAAAACTCATTGAACTGCAATGCCGCATCCCTCAGTGAGGGTGTTCTACACAACAGATCTCTCCAGGAAAAGCCTGGGTAAATAAACATTTCCTGAAGGGCAACAAAGACAAACCAATGGTATTTGCTAAGATCATGATTCCAGGCTAGACCTCCCCTACGGATATGTCTCAGATTTTCCGAAATTCTGAATTTGCCTGAGGTACAGTGAGCTGCTGGGGTGTATCAGGATACTATCCAGGTTGCTCCACTCCACTATCCACTGCTATCCACTCTTGTCTCCATCCTGGGTTACAGGTCCTGGCTTATGTCCCTGTAGTGCTGTATCACAGGGGCTGTGTGACTTAGCCTGGGTCTCACGTTGATGTGAAGCTCAGCCAAGGCCACAATGGGAACTGAGAAATGCTCTAGGTGGCACGGTGGTTGTAGCTACCCTGTCTCAATTTAGGCATCCTACATAATCACTTATAAAGCACAAGTATCATCTCCAAACCGCATCAGAAGTAATTCTGTAGGTTAAACCCCTGTAATTCACACTGTGCTGGCAAATGACCTAAGGAGAAAGTAATTTTCTGAGCACTCTCTCAGAGTATCAGTGGCTCACTTTTGTCCCAGCTCTGCAGTCTGCACCTCACTGAAGCACCTGTTTCATTTTTCATCAGCCCACTTCATAGAAGCATTTCCTCAGCATGTCCCCTATTTTGTCCTGTACATGTTGCCATCAATAACAACTATGTGCACAAGCAGATCATGCTACCTCTGGCTGTTTCCCTCTCACGGAAAAGGTGGCATAAACAGCACCTTGGGTATGTGTATCTCTTATTTGTAGATAAAAGACAGAAACAACAACAGAGCACTCATTGCTGTGCGTAAGCCCTTGAAGATCTTCCCGCTCCTCAGGGTGAGCACAGCCTGTTTCCTGGTCAGTGATTTCCAGCTACTAGTCCACCCTTATGAACTGGGGCCAACAGATACAACCCATTTCTCATCTCTGGCAGAAGGAACAGCTTCCATTGTCTCCAGCTTTTAGGCAAATGCCAAGTTTCCATTCTGGGACCTCATCCAACTACTTCTAGGACCAGTATGATTAGAGAGATGTCCAGTGTGCTCACTTGCTGAGAGACAGCTCCCTTCTGCCTTACCCAAACTTTTGCAGGAAAAGTCAGGCACTACTAACCTTCATTTCTTTTTCTTTCTTTTCTTTCATAGCTTGATACTTTCAGCATTTGACCACTCAGTGAAAAAGATCTCAAGATGATGTATTTAATTTAGAACATCTTGAATTTTTCACTGGATGAAAAAACCATTATTTGCAGCGCATTATTCTTATCTCTTGCTTGCCAGGTCCTCCAGTTTCCTCCTTGAGGTATTCCCCAGCCAAATAATTAATAACTTTGGCAGGCCAATCATCAAGCCAAAACTAGAAGCCAAATTTTTCTGGGTGAAATCTTGGGCACAAAACAGTACACTTGAACAGCTGGTCCTTCTGGTGAGTCCTCATCTCTGTAGGGTGTTTGGTGGGAGAAGAAATTACATTACAATATACCTTTAGGGCAGTGACAACATAGTGCTGGATACCCAGTTCAGTGTCAAAACTTCATATCAGTGAAAAAAATAGAGTCTTACTATGAACTTCCTCTTCCAAAAGAGAAAAGAAAGAAGACATTTCACTGTATGGGATGTAGAGTTGTAAATGCTCTGCCTAGACAGAGGACTGAATTCTGTGTGAAAATAAAAGAAAAATGCAAATAAGGAGAGGCTTCCAAAAGGAAGGGAAATTGTTAGCATAGGAGGATGATTTAAGGCAGTTCGATGGTTGACACAGAGAATTTGCAGTGCTGACTGAGTTCTGGTAAGGACATGGCTGGAATCTGGGCCAAAACCATCAGAAAAAGACTGCTGGAGAAACTCAACATTAGCAATTAGAAACTGGCTTGCAAGGGGAGGTTTCGAGTCCAGATGGGAGCTCATGGGGGTAGCTAAAAGGCTAACCTGATTGAAAATGTAATAGCTTGCCTCTTAGGCTACCCAGCAACAAACACTCTAGCACTCCCCCACTGCATATTAAATTCATAGAAGGAGAATTTCTTGGCAGCAAGTAAAACACTTAAGCCAGCCACTGGTATATCCCAAAAGGATTCTGGCATAGCAGCCTTGGAACAGTATGACCAAAACATTGCCCAAATGGCTTTATTTACAGTTAGTAACAATCTTCTGAAACTGCCATAAACCATTTATTGCCATTGACAAAGTGGGTGTGACAACAGCAGTAGCTATTTCAGTTACATATGTGCATCTGCAAATGGAATCCAAACCTGAGAGAGGTTTGATGGTTAGATAAGTTTTTGGTGGCCTGACCTTTCTAGGTCATTCAACAACAGCACAGGGGAAAGTGAATATCAAGACTTACATAATCGGATTTTAAATACGTGTGCAGTCTCTGGTGACATGTGGTACATAACTTCCAGAAATCTTGTTGAAGAGGGGACTCTGCACAAATTAACAAAGATGCCAGAATGCTGTATTTCCAATCTCTGTTATCAGCCAAAAAGGGAGTTATCAGGATGAGGTAGATGAAAGGGAAATTTTCACTAATCAAGAATGGTAAATAGTAAAGCTTTACAAAGCACAGACTTTAAAAGGATTGTATAGGGTCATGGAAGAGCCTTTCCCAAAGGGATGCTATGTCCCACAGGCAAAGGTGCTGCCTGACCTTGGAGCCCCTCACAGCCCCCTGTGCATCTGTACACAAAGTGAGCCTGGAGATACCTCTGGCCCTCATGCAGTATGGCTTTGGTTCTTCCCTGTTTTGCTAACAAAAACAGGGAAGCTGCAGCCAAACTCTCTGTGGGGAGTGGTGCTCAGAACATGAGAAAACCCACCAGCAGGGTCAGCCCCATGACAGAGTCTGTGCTAGTTATTAAATAGCACAGGTGATCATATGCCTTGCTGAAGGCACTGTGCCCATGCCTTGTTGTACCTTGTGTATCCATCCACAGACACTCAACCACACAAAATCTTTTCTTTACAATGGTGTTCCTGTCCTGTTTTGTTTTCTGCTTGCCTTACTTTCTGAGGAACAGAACCTTTTCTGCTTAAATAATGCGCCAGTCTCTTACCACCACAGCTGAATTAATGAACCAATATTATGTTGTGGATGCAGTTTTCTGTGAGGGACAAAAATACCCTATTATATTTGTTTTCTACCATCCCAAGCCCCTGAATGAGTTATTGTGCCTTTACTGTAACCTAGAGACATTGTGTGGCTTTTTGAATAAAACATCAAAAGCATTCAGCACTGGAGATATTACAAACATATTTCATTTGATTAATTAAAAAGAACTTTCTAAGGAAATATTTGATTTCTTGCACCATCCCCAAACATTATACACTCACATGACCTCTAGCCTTTCATTCCCTACAGAGTACTTGCACAAAATCCTGAGGGTAGAGTATATTACAAGAGCCATGGAAAGAATGCAATTGTGCATTTCAGCCCCCACATCCTCAGTTACTACCATATAATTTATGTATTGCAAAAATGACAAGTTTTCCTTTCAGTAGCATAAACAGCTTGACTTTGGATAAGGTTCACTTGATGTGGCAGAAGTCCTTAGTTGGGTTGCTTCTACATCTAGGCTTAAATTTGCTGGTTCAAAGTGAAGCTGCATGTTGTCAAAGTTTGAATGAAATTTATTAGCAATATATCAATCTGTGCTAGACAAAATATTTATTTTCTTGCTATTGCCTTCCATAGAACAGATAGAGCTCTCATTT